GGTTCTGCCGGCCGGGGAGGGGGTCTGCAACACCCCCAAGCCCCTCTCCGGATCCCCCCTATCTTCAGCTACCCCTGCAGGGTAGCCTAGCTCCGGACCTGTCCGGATCGGAGCACCAAAAGCGGCTAGCGCGGCAGGGATCGCTCAGAGTCGCAAATCCCTGCCGCTCGCGAAGCCGACAAACTGGAAGAAATCCTCAACAAGATTTCTAAAAGATACATTTTAACTGAAACTTGGTAACAAAATAGTAGAACCCCAGGAAGAGAAAGTGGAAAAAAGAGGCAAGAAGAAACAGGTTGGGAGTATTTGGATTACTTGGTGATCTTTGGATTTTTGGTTATTGCATTTAAATGACTAAAATCAATCGGGTGGTTGTTTAAAAGTGTTTAAAATGGCACCACTTTTAGAAGAACTGAAAATGGAACTTAAAAAGTACAAAGAAGATACACAAGAAGGGAGAGGTTCTTTTGGCTTCATATTCCAACTCTTAGAAATGGAGATCTGGAACTATGAGAAACAACGAAACACTTGCAGAACAAGAAGATTGGGACAAAGAAGAAGTTATCTTTAATGATCAAGTAATTTTATGGGAGGGGGAGGAAAGGGGGGAAAGAGAATAAAAAGTTTAAGATTTGTAAAAACAACCCCAAAAAAGAAGAATAGTTTGAAAAATAAGTATAATATTAGAAAGCAACAGAAGAGGGGATTACAGAAGAGAGAATTAGAAGTAGAGAGACAAGGGGGTAAAAAGGGGAGGGAGAAGAAGAGAGGGAAGAAGGAAAGGAAAAGAAGTTATAAAGGACAGAAACAAGATATAGAGAAACAGGGAAAAGGTATAAGAATTAAAAGTATAGGCCTGTTTAGAGATAATGGGTGAAAACTTAATTGTAAAAGGGATTCTGCAAAGGTACATAAGATAGTATTGTTATATTACAAATAGAAATAATTTTAGAAAATATGATTAAAATGATGGATAAAATATTTATCGTAATCTAGTGGAATGTTTGTTAATAAATAAATGAAATAAAGTGAATGAGAGAATTAAATTAGGAAAGGATGGGAACATTTTAATTATTATTACTGATTTATAAAATATAAGTGAAGAGAAATATGGGGGGGGGGAGAATTATGGAAAGTTTATAAGTGTTCCCAAGGAAGTGTGATATTTAATTGAAAAGTAATGTTAAAGATGTTAAGATTTTCATGAATATTAATGATAGAATTGAATTGGAATGGAATGAGTGTTTTATTTACATATATATATAATCTTTTTTTAAGAATATAGTATTTTAAGAATGTACTAAGCAGAATTCAATTGGACGTTATGTATTATATTGAATGTTATAATCTTAAAGGTACACATTGAAGCTTAAATAAGAGTTGAATGGATAAAATTAAAAGATATAAAGGTGTCATATTCCAATTAGTAACTACAGGGGAAATTTGTTTAATGAGAAAAGATAATATGAAATTGAAACAGGACAGACAAAAGTATAAATATAATGATTTGAATTGAGATGAGATAATCAAATAAAGTTGAGAAAATTAAAAGAGGGGAAAAACTATGTAGAAAATGTAAAACAGTAATAAGATATGGAATAGAACACAAAAATGAGCATGAAATTGAGTTTGTGTCTGTATGAAGAAGTGTAACCCAGGACCATGCTATTTTCAAAAAAAGATGTTTTATTTGTATTTTTTTTTTTTGTGAAAACCCAAATAAAATTTCAAAAAAAAAAAAAGAAAAGAAAACAAGCCTCACCCTGAGTTTGCATATCCTAGCAAATTTGCATATTTCTTCACTTTTTTTCTTAGCAAGGTTGTCAAGGATGATCTGAAAGCTCTTGCTTCAACTTTACATGAATCATAGCATACCATGCTGTAAATTATAATGCGCTGTGATATATTGGTTTAGAACTATATCTATTTGATTACAGAGAGTCAGATTCAAGTTTGCTCTCAGCCATGGAAGCTCTTCAGGCGACTTGAAGCAGTCACTTTCTCTCTTTCATCCCAATCTAGCTCACACAACAGTTTTTATGGGGGGAAATTTATTTATTTATTTGATTTGTCAATCGCTTACAAGATAATAGGTATAAGTATATACATAGTTATGAATACGTGAGATGGATACGTATAAGAAGAATAAAAAGAAACAATACGACAGGGACGGTAAGAATGATTGGTGCGCTTATGCACGCCCTCTACAGACCTTTTAGGAAAGGGGTGAGGTCAATAGTAGACAGTCTAAGGTTAAAGTTTTTGGGGTTTGGGAAAGAAACTACAGAGTCAGGTAGAGTATTCCAAACACTGACCACTCTGTTGCTGAAGTCGTATTTTCTGCAATCAAGTTTGGTGCGGTTAACCTTGAGTTTGTATCTATTGTGTGCTCTTCTATTGTTATGATTGAAGCTGAAGTATTCATTTGCAGGTAGGACATTGCAATGTATGGTTTTATATACTATATTTAGATCGGACTGAAGGCAGTGTAGTTCTAGGTTTTCTAGGTCTAGAGTTTCAAGTCTGGTGGCATAAGGTATTCTGCAATGAGTAGAGGAGCAGAGAACTCTTCTTGAAATATTTCTGGACTTTCTCAACTGTGTTAATATCAGATACATGAAATAGGTTCCAGACTGATGAGGTGTATTCAAGTATAGGTCTAGCAAATGTTTTGTATGCTCTCATTAGTAGTGTGATATTACCAGAGAAGAAGCTACGTAGGATTAGATTAACAACTCTTAATGTCTTTTTGGCTATGTAGTTACAGTGGGCTCTAGCACTTAGATCATTAGAGATGAGTACTCCAAGGTCCTTGACAGAGTTTGATCCTCAACAAGGTCTTGACTATTCAGCTTGTATTTTATTTTCTGATTTTTTTTTGCCAATATGTAAGACAGAGCATTTATTTGTTGAGATTTGAAGTTGCCATTTGATTGACCATTCTGATACATAGTCAAGGTCCTTTTGGAGGGTAGTAGTATTGTCTGTGGTGTTGAATAGCTTTACATCATCAGTGAAGAGAACACAGTTGCTCTTAATATGATCACAGAGGTCATTTATGTAGAGTATGAAGAGAGTTGGTCCTAAAGCACTGCCTTGGGGGACACCACTGTTGACAGGTACAGAATTTGATAGAACGCTCCCAATTTTGACCATTTGTTGTCTGTTTGACAGAAATGCTTCTATCCAGTTATGTAGGTGTCCAGAGATTTTAGTTTCAGTAGTAGTTTGTACCACTGAATCAAAGGCTTTACAGAAGTCTATGTAGATTGCGTCTATTGCTTTGCCCTGATCGAATTGTGTACTCCATATGTTTTTGCAGTGAAAGATTTTTATTAGAGAGTAGGTTGTTTGTCTCTAAGTGGAGGAAAATGGATTGGTTAATAATTGATTCCATGACTTTACAGGTGACGCAGCATAAGGAGATTGGTCTGTAATTTTCAACTAGGCTGGGGTCTCCCTTTTTGAAGATGGGTGTCATGCCCCTGGTGGAGACTGACTCTGAGGAAGAGGAGGAACAGCCAACAGGGAGTGGGAGTGTGGCTCCAGAGGTGGTGGAGGAGGCTGGGGAAGGGCAGAGGCCAGCTGAGCAGTCAGAGGAGGATCCAGGCCCATCCCCTATTCATCCTAGATCATGCAGGGAAGAGAGGATCAGGGAAAAGCGAGGTCTACTCAAGAGGAGATTACCATGATCCTCCTCGTGGCTTGCAGGTGGAAGCTATGTATATAAGTTTTCAATTGTGCAGTTAGAATTTGCAGGAGTCAATTTAGTGTTCACCTTGAAAGAGGTTTATCTTTGCTGGCGTTCTTCCCATGGACTTTTCTCGGTTATTTTCCTGGAGTTTATGATTAGTTATCTTGGCTTGCTTCGGAACTCTCATCAATGTGGTTTGTTTTGGTTTTCTGTTTGCCTCATTATTTACTTTTGTGACTTTAAACTGTGCCTAATAAAACAGTGAAGTTAAGTTGAAGGCCTTACCGGACTTTAATATATGTTTTGGGTTATTTTTGAGAGACTACGGGTCATCACAATGGGGATGACCCCAGCCTAAAATTACAGACCAAATTGAAAATTACAGACCAAATTGGAAGAGGAAGTGATAGAGACATCATGTTGAGCTCCTGACAAAAAGGCAGGATATACATTTAATAATTCAAGTGAATATGATGGCCAAATCTGAAAAACTTATTCTCACTTACTGAATCCAAAGTTTATACAGTTGTTAGGAGGGCAACATATTTAACAATGGCCATTAAATGGAAAATTTTAAACTGCTAACAGCTATGGTGGAAAAAATGGAGGGGGAGGGAATTATTTATTTACTTAAATGATTTATAGAGCAACACATTCACAGCAATTATTCTGAACAGCACACAAAGATTAAAACCTTTGTAACAATATAACCCCATGGTGTATTGGTTAAATAATAACCCTCCATACAAAAGGCAGATCACCATCAAAGATCACTGAACTACCTGGCCCAAATGTTGTGCAATTTGTGCAAGAAGAATTCAGCATGTTTAAATGTATTCTACTTAGCCCAATTTCATTTATTCTAATTGTTCATAGGTTTCATTGTTGCTGTACTAATATTATAAAGCACCTCAAATAATTTATTTTAGATAAGCTTATGATTTAGTATATACTTTCTGTATGAAAAGTGGACCGTTTCTGGTCAACTAAAATTGCTCATCTTCATATAGTAGATTAGTTTGATTTGGCATGTGTGTTAAATTATTCCACTTGTTAATTAGAATATTATTGGAATAATTTGGAGCAGAATTCAGAAATATTTATTCTTATTCTGTTTCTGATTAATTGTTAGAATAAAAATAAATATTTCTGAACTTTGCTCCAAATTGTTCTAATAATGTTCTAATTAACAAGTGGAAAGATAGCAGTAAATGGATCTTTATTCTATCACTGGTATTCCTTATAAAGAGTACAATTTTAACACTACAATTTTATCCTAAGAACAGTACATGCTTGCTTTTCTTACCTGTTCAACAAGTAGTAATGGAGTAGTTTATTTTACTGCTCTTTCTTCTTGTACTTTCAATTCTTTATCACTTTCTGCGTTGGACTTAACAAATAAACAAGAAAATAAAAAAATACAGATTGAAGATATTTAGAAACAAAGTGAGAGATAACCAAGAAAGAAAGTCTTACAAAATTACCTCCTGAAATATTTATAAATATTTAACACCTCAAATACCATATGTTCATGTTAAGATGGTACCTAATTTTTATTTCTCCTAAGCATTCATTTTGAAATATTTGAGAAAAAACTGATACGTGGGCTTGGATTTGGGGGACAATGACACAAAGTGACTCCTTTGATTATATAACTCTGCCTATGGACAAAAAATATTTTGAGATAAATAATCAAATATCTGAGTAAATGAGACACTTAGTTGAAAAAGCAAGATAGTATTGTGTATTAAAAGGAAAAATGTCTGCATCTATTTTAGAAATAAAATAGGTGTTAGCAAACTTTTCATGATATATTGATCACATTATTTAATTTTAACCTCAGGGGGATGGCGGTATTGCTTTAGAGACTAATACATGTTACTCATAGAAAAAAACACAAACCTATTACAAAAACCTGTCCAATCCAATACCCTCTGATGCAGTGACAATGGTGCTGAGCAATTGATTTCAAAGAAAACATGAAGAAAACATGCAGTTTTCATAGAAAACTGGAATAAATGCAGACACTTCGAAAAGAAGTATTATCAAATGTCCCTTTAAAATAGCATCATCAAGTGCTTCTATGACAGCTAGAAAAATAGCCCTAAACCTCCCTAGGAAAAAAAGGTAAGTTTTGGTGATAGGAGATTCAATTCTCAAGGGAACAGAACCAGCCAGTGGTGGGATTCTACCGGTTCACAACTATTCGGTAGAACCATTTATTAATTTTCTGAGAGTTTGGAGAACCGGTTGTTGGAAGAAATCTCCTTTTGTTTTTTCCTACTTTACAGGGCTAATCCTGTAAGGAAGGCAGGAAGGAAACATTCTGGTGTAGTTTCTAGTCTAATCTTTATTGCCCTGCTTACAGAAACTGCCTCTCCATTAACCCTTATTACATTCTTGGCAGTAATCCTAGACCTTGCTGTCACCTCCAGAGCCGGAGGTGTTTTTTTTTCTTTTCTGGTACTTTGTTGGGGCTTGATTTTCTTAAAGGGGAAGGATTGTTTTAAACTTTTTACACTGCTGTTGGGAGGAAATACATCCCTGTTGGAGTGCTTCCAGCCAGGATGCAACAATAAGCACTTTGAAGAAATAATTGAATAATGAAGCAGAGCTGCTGGAAAGAAGCTTTTAATGACAAGGAACCAAGATGAGTGACATTCAGTAAGGCTTCTTGGCTTGTTAGAAAGATTGACATTCAAACGCAAGTTTACATACCCTTTCTGAGTTTTGGTTTAAAACTGGTTTTTGGTGAAGTTTAATTCTGTGCTTGATGACGTTTAATACTGTGTTTATTGATGGGATAATTTTCCCTATTCAGCTTTGTTTGGAAGGAAAAAAATTTATCTCTGTTCCCGAAAAGAAACTGGGTTGAGAAATCTGGCTAGTTCCTGTGTCTATTTGTTCTGGTAATTGGTTTAATAAGCAACAGCTACTGTGTTTGCTCCTTTGCTACATTCTAGCACTAATTGCTTTCTTTGTTATTAAGCTTATCTCAAGTGTTTACACTTGAGCTTGCCTAGGGTGTGAACTCTGGCAATGACCCAGACAAGGCTTGTGTTTTAGTTTTAAAAGCATTTAAACTGTTATGATTTAATTATTTGTATTGTGTTTGAATTTTTTCCTGCCTCATGGTTTCTTTTTCGATCTGGGGAGGGGGTCTTCCTTCACTGCATTAGTGGTTCCTAGCACTGTCCTTTTGGGGTGTACTTCCAAGAGGCGGGATGTAAGCTTGGCATTGATTTTTTAACTGCCTTTCTGGGGGGCATGTGATCTTTCCTTAAATCTGGATGATTTCCTTAGGATATCTTTTGAGGTGAGTGAGTCCAGCTGGTATCTTTAAGTGGTGCAATGGATCTAAGGATTGCTTCTCCTGGGTGTGCTCTTTCTGGACAGCTAAAATGACCTCTCTGCAAAAGGGTTTCACTTTATGAGCAAGAGTTGGCTGCTGATAGTTATCATTGCATTTTAATTATTTTAATTCTTCAAGGTGCTCTGGCACCCTGCCTGATTTGTAACTCGGGCTTGCAGGTCTTTTTAATCTAATAATTGGTATTTGGAGCAGCTTTTTGCAAGCAAAGAAGCTTTTTGTATTTTTGTACAGGTAATTCTTGACTTACAACGGTTCATTTAATGACCATTCAAAGTTACAATGGCACTGAAAAAAAGTGACTTATGACTGTTTTTCACACTTATGACCCTTGCAGCACCCCCACGGTCACAAGAGGCCAGGCGAGGAGAAGCACCCCTCAATGTGAGTGATGTCAAGTTGGTGATGCCCACCCAATCACATGACCACCCAGTCACGCCTACTCAGCTGGTCATTAGGGCAGAGAACAGGTTGTTAAATTATTTGAATCCTACCACTGGAACCAGCTGTCTGAAGACCAGACACTCAATCCAAAGAGATATGTTGTCTCCCTGGAGCTAAAGTCAAAGATGTGGCTAAGAACCTAACCAAAATAATAAAACCCAAAGATTACTACCCTTTTCTACTACACGTAGAGACAAATGACATGAAAATGGACCTGAAAACAATATTGAGTGATTAAGAGCAGCTAGCCAAGAAAGTTAAGGAGTTATGTGCACAAGTAGTTTTTTCATCTGTACTGCCAAAGGAAGGTTGAATAAAAGATTCTAAAAGTGAACCACTGGCTAAAGGATTGGTATTGCCAAAATAACTTTGGATTCCTGGACCATGGTCTGCACTACCTCCACGATGGGCTTCTGGCAAGGGATGGGCTGCACATCACAAAAACTGGGAAGAATGTTTTCAGAAAACAACTGGCTCAACTTATCAGGAGGGCTTTAAACTAAAATTGAGGGGGGAGGGTGTCCAAACTTTAGGATTTTCAGGACCTAATTCTAAGCAAAAACCCCTAGAAAACAAATCAAATAATGAGGTAAGAAGGGATGGGAAGGAAGAGAAACTCAACCATCAAATAGGAGACATAGGAAGCATACCAAGAGTCAGACATAAAGATCTCAAATGCCTGTATACAAATGCACAAAGTTTGGAGAACAAACAAGTGAACTTGAATTATTAAGCCATGAAGGTAGATATGATATAGTTGGAATCACTGAAATATGGTGGGATGAAATCCAATTACTGGAACATAGTAATAGAAGGATACAAACTGTTCAAAAAACCCAGGCCCCATAAAAGAGGAGGTGGATTTGCACTCTATATAAAAGACATTGCTACAAAAATGTACGAATCCAAAGACAAAAATCTCCTAGAATACATATGGGTCAATATAAAAGAAAAAACGAATGACATTGCCATAGGTGTATACTACAGGCCACCCAACCAAGTAGAAAAAATAGATGTACTTTTTGGTAACCAATTAACAAATATATGTAGGAAACACACTATAATAGTAATGGGGGAAGACTAAGAGAGAAATCGAATAGGTTCCTGACCAACTAAGGTGACAACTTTGTTGCCCAAAAGATAGACGATGGAACTAGAGAGACAACCATACTGGACTTAATTCTCATGAACAGAGAAGAAGTGATAGAAGGAGTTGAAACTACAGAAACGTTGGGTGAGAGTGACCATGTCATAATAGAATTCAACATAAACACAATCAACAGAACACAATGATACCAGAGTCTTAGATTTTAAAAGAGATGATTTTAACAAACTTAGAGAGAATCTGGGAAAGATTCTTTGGATGAAATTCCTAAAGGAGAAAACAACTCAAGAAGCTTGGAAAACTCTGAAAAATATGATCATAAAGGCCCAGACCAGCACAATACCACTGAAAAATAAAAACAAGAAATTCAAGATGAAACCAGCATGGCTGCACAAAGATCTTTCTGATAAACTGAAAGTACAAAAAATGGACACATAACTAAGGCAGAATATCAGCAGATAGCCAGAATCTGCAAAGACAAAATCAGGAAAGCAAAGGCTCAGAATGAACAAAGACTTGAACAAAATAAAAATAAAGTTTAGATAAAGCAATAAAAAAAGTTTCTTTCAACATATAAATAGCAAGGAAAAAAATCAATGAAACAGTTGCTTACTTGCCATCTTTTCTCTAAAGAGAAAAGATGGCAAGTAACAGGCAGCAGAGAGAAAGCAGAGCTGCTTAATTCATTCACAAAAAAGAAACTATAGTCCAACCTACCAAAAACATAACTGTAAAAGACAGACTAGAAATAAAAATTAAAATAAACAAAAAAATAGTAAGAAAACATCTGTCTGATCTTGATGAATACAAATCACTGGGACCTGACTGATTATATCCCAGAGTTCTAAAGGAGCTGGTAGATGTCATATCTCAGGACCACTGTACCACATCTTTCAAAAATCCTGGAGCACCAGGGAACTTCCAGAGGACTTGGAAAAGAGCTGATGGGGTTCCCTTCTTCTTCTTCTTCTTAAAAAAAAGGGGGTGGTGGGGGTGGTGATGGAACCAGACTCAGGAAACTACAGATCAATCAGCCTAACATCAATACCTGGGAAGATACTGGAAAAGATAATCAAAAACCAGATTTATGATTGGCTTACGCACAACAGTGGAAATGTAAAGAAACTCCAAATGAATTAGAAATAATTAGGAAAATCTGGATGTGCGCAGAGATGGACAAATTGACAAAAGAATTAAAAAATAAGGATGAATCGGATTATTACAAAGTATGGGGTAAGTTTTATGGTTGGTTAGAAAAGAGAAAGGATCAAGACAATAAGAAATAATTAAATGTGTGTGTGTGTGTGTGTGTGTGTGTGTGTGTATTATATATAGAATGTAAACATGCACTATTTTTATATGTGATTTCACAATGTAAGACAGTTGTGGGTTAGGAGGATTGTACCATGTTCAATGTTTTTAATATTTTTGTTTTTGTTTGTGTTTGTTTAATAAAATTTTTTTAAAAAAACACCAGATCTATGAACATATAGAAATGAGTAAAGTAATAAGTCAGCACAGGTTTGTTAAAAACAGATCATGCCAAACCAATCTTACTTCATTCTTTCATATAGTGACTAAATTAGTAGACCAGAGAAATGCTGTGGACATAGTATACTTAAAGATTTCAGCAAGGCATTTGACAAAGTAGATTACAACCTACTTCTTGGTAAGCTAGAAAAAAGTGGGATAGATAGCATCACCATCAGATGAATTTGTAACTGGCTGACAAACCATATTCAACAAGCAGTCCTTAATGGTATTACGTCTACATGGAGGGAAGTAAGCAGTGGAGAATAATAAGGTTCCATCTAAGGCCCAGTACTCTTCAATATCTTCATAGATGAGGGTATAGAAGGGAAACTCATCAAATTTGCAGATGATACTAAGCTGGCAGGAATAACCAAAACCCTAGGGTCTGCTGCTTGAGTGGGGAGTTGAACTAGATGACCTACAAGGTTCTTTCCAACTCTATTATTGTTATATATTGGCAATCATAAACTTTATGTTGTCCCCTTCTGGCTTAGAGAGACTAGCGAGACAAAAATTTAAATATTTATTCTTTCTACTAAGATTTATCTCAAATTGTAATGATCAACTAAGACAGCGGGAATAAAGTTCATGTTCTATAGTTGTTATAATATACAACTGCCATTCGGTATATCCAGCATAGGCAATGGAAGGGAGTTGTAGTCCAAAATACATTGAAATTATCTAGAAGTTTATCTTTACCCTAAAGTATAATTTGTTTCTTTGTTAAATTTATTTGCTGCCCATCTCACCATGGGGCTACTCTGGGAGGCTTACAATAAAATGGAAAAAATGTAAACACAACATTTTTATGTTATGCAAAGGAACAAAATAATAAAAACAAACAATGGAAGCACAATAATATGAAGTTTAAAAAGATGGGAAGAGAGGGAGCAGGTAACAGAGGGGGGAGGGGGGGGGGTCAGTTAATTAGTTTGATAGCCACCTCCAGTGATGTACTCCCCTAATGCAGCAGTCCTTTCTGTCTTGGTAGGCCAGTGGGCAGGGGGAGTCAGACGGGATAGTTCTGTGTGACAAGCAACAAGCATGTGAGTGCCCATCAGTGGTGGGACTCAATATTTTTTTACTGGTTCTGTGGGAGTGGCTTGGTGGGCATGGCAGGGGAAGGATACTGTAAAATCTCCAGTCAGAGATAGTATTTGTCGGTTCTCCGAACTATTCAACATTTTCCATACTGGTTCTCCAGAACTGGTCAGAACCTACTGAATACCACTTTTGGTGCCCACCACTCACAAAATGGAGCTGTATGTGAACACAGGCTCGCTCACCGTTCATGTGGCCTGGTTCCAAACAGGCCGGAGTTCAATTTTGGGCAAGGCCAAGGGGTTGGGGGCCCCTCCCCAAATGGATCTCCAGACCAAATGGCAGAGCAAGGTCTTCAGGCCTTTCCTAATTATTACTGAAGTTTGTGGAACCAGCATATGATAGCTTGTGTTTATCCATAACATTTATAACTACAATACAATATAAGGACAAATCAGCAGAAATGAAGAAGTACATGCCAAATCAAAACAAAAAAGCCAAGAACCACCAAAACAAACTCATCAGGAAAGAAATATTTCAGATACCATACCTTGCTACTTGCTTTTGCAGACTTTTTCTTTTTTGAACTATCTTTCCAAAGAGATTCTAGGCTTATATATGCTTGTAGACTCCAGTCATATAGGCGAAAGCCAGTTACCTTTCAAAAACCAGTGATATGATGATAGTCATCTTAAGAGGTATACTTTGGCTTTATCAATTTCAATAAATAGTACATTTCTAAGTTTAAGTAGTATAGCAAATCATGACACTGAGAGAAAAAGCTATAATTATAATGTAAACCAGATAGCAAGATATAACTGCTACTTTATTCAACTTATACTAAAATACTTTGATCATATACAAACACTGATATTCCCATTATACAACATTTTCAATTTCTCCAGTGCCACCATAAAAGTGAATTTATAGGTCAGCCACAAGTATTGCTCAGTATGACTTTGTTATAATATAAATAAAGTATATAGCTGACATTTATTTGGAAAAGGCAACACAAAACAAAAAAAGCATCTGATTTTCTTACCACTTTTGAAATAAACTGTAAGTAGAAATCTTGCTTTAAATTATTGCTTACAAAACAAATAGAAATTCCTGTGCCTATTTTACATAGCAACATCTTGCACTTAACCCCGTATTGACAGGAAGTATTTCCAGAAAGCTTTTAAGGGGCCGCAAATCTGTATAGAGAGGGCAATTTTTTTTCTGCTTGTGTAAACACCCTTAAATTTCCATGCTATGATTCAATAGAGAACAAATTATAGAGTTACAAAATGTGAACAGATGTAGCTAAAACTATGATTTTGAAAAGTGTGAGACTTGACAGAAACAAATGAAAACATTTTTCTCTGAGAACATTTACAGTTTAAAAACTGAAATTCTGAATTTCAGCTGCAAAAGCAGGTATGCATTAGTTCTGTGCATTTATTAACAGAACTGAAAACTCCCACCCTAAACAACTTCATCTTCCATCATTTCACGTTTAAAAAATATTATACTTTTCAAGACTCATTTAATAGATGTCAAGAATGATTCGCTCTTTCACCTAGTTACTTCTTTGCTCTCAGCTTGCCTACAATTGGGAGGGGGGTAGTTGGAATGTCTGCAGTGGGAATGGAATGCCAAGACTGTCTGCAGATCCCGAGACCCTGCTGCCAACCCCAAGATCATGCTGCGCAGGTGTTTGAACGATACAGGCCGTTCTCATAACAAAAGGAGCTGATTTAATTGGACAACACAATGAACTAAAGGGGGTGGCCAAAGGGTTTAATTCTGTGGGCTTTTGCATGGGAAACTCAGCTGGTTTCGTTTCTTCTGTGCCAATGTAGTGTATTCAATAAAGTTTTACTTTTTGGGAAGAATAATGTCCTAGGAGTTCTTTTTTTTTGGGGGGGGGGGGTTTGCTAGCTGGACAGCTAACAATAGATAGCTTGGTTGGTTCAGTATTTATTATGTTTCCCTGAAAATAAGACCCAGTCTTATACTTTTTTTTGCCTCCAAAAGAGGCACCAGGTCTTATTTTGGGGGGGGGTGTCTTCCACTGTTTCACCTCACGGCGGCATTGACAGCCCTGCCCAGCAGAAGCCCATGTGGTCGCTGCTGGCCCACTTCAGGAAAGTCTTCTGCAGTCAAGAAACAAGTTTTGACAGTGCCTCTGATGGTGAAAACGGAGGCCACGGGGTGCTGCACACGTCAACCTGGAGCTCTTTTATGGGCTGCAAAACAGAGATGGGGGGCAATGGTATGTAGCAGCAGAAGAAGTGGGCCGGCAAGGTGAGACCTGGCTGCAACTGTTTGAAGATAAAGCAGTTCCACCATCTCCATCACCACCCTAGCTTGATTTTTACCTGTGTGCCTCACCCCACCCTGTGCAACTAGGTACAATGGAGTGGGCAGGGTCTTAATTGAGGGTAGGGCTTATGTTGGGTGCACATGCAAAAATCAAGCTAAGGCTTATTTTCAGGATAGGTATTGTTTTCAGGGAAGCACAGTATCATTGGAAAATATTGCACTGTCTCAAATTATATTCAAGAAAGGATGGCTATACAGTTCTAATATACTTTTTTAGCTGCAACTGGTTAAGTAGACACACTTTATAAAATAAAACAAAGAAATAAATAAGCTGTCTTCAACATTACTAAGAAGAGGAAAACGTAACTGACAAGAAAGGAAACTACAGGAACCCACAAATTTTTTTCATAAGAGGCTCTGCAGAAAAATAGTGATATTAAGTATGTGCTAATGAGAACATTTTGTCTCCTGGATTATTCATTAAGGAATTAGAATTAGACTTGCAAATCCCTAAGATCTCCCTAACTGATATACCGGGATAAATAAAAAATCATGATGGACTGGGACTAAGTAGACTCAACTATATTTGTATGTGTATGCACCCAGACATATTAACTCATGTCTATATTTACACTTTAGCCCAACACTTTGGACTAAATGTATTATTTAAGTAAAATTACAAGATTACAAGAAATATACGAGTACATAAATAAGAAAGATGATTTTAATAATTACCTTGGCAACAGCAACTGTTTGCTGTGGATAGTAGACAGCAGTACCAATCCCCACGAAGCTTATTGGATACACCAATCTTTTAATTTTGGAACCTATTCCATAGAAGAAATGTTATTTCTGATGTGTGATATACTGAATAAGATGAAATTAAAAGGGCTTACTTAGAGTACAGCATACAATGTCAGGGAAATCTACAAATGCTACACACAATGCAGTCCTGATAGCCTAAATTGCTAGTTCATTCTGTTTAGTGCTTGCGTGCCTATCCTTGGTGCACCACAGGGGACAAACTATTTTACACTAGCTGACTAGCAGTGTTCAGGTTGCTGACTCTTCCAGACTCCTCTGCTGATCTCACCTCGCCTTATGTTGCGTTGTCTCACATCCGACTAGGTCTAGAGCTGGCTTCCCCTCACATCACACACAAACATAGCTAGGTTTTTCCTGTCGAAGTGGTATCCATTTATCTACTTGCAATATTGCATGCTTTCAAATTGCTGGGCGGGTAGGATCTGGGGAGTGAGCGATGGGAGCTCATTCTGTCTCACACAGATGGGCTCGAACCGTGTGCAGACCATTTCTGGCCAACAGTTCCACTGTCATTAAGTCACTGCACCATGTCTCCAAAAGGGTAGATTCTCAGCCTGACAAATTACTTTGGCAATAAGTAGGCAGGGAAAAGTATATAAAATGATGACAATTAGATATAAAGATATAGGAAAAGTGAAGTGAAGAGCAAAGGAATACTAAACACTGTAGCAAGATGACACAAGCCTGGCTTTGATCATTGAAAGTCCCTACCCACATATTCTTACTTTATAATTCAATCTCCAAATTCTAAAACATCTGAAAAAGTACATATTGTCTGGCCAAATAGATAGATTCAACAAATGATAAAGACTTGCTCTGGTAATTAAATGCTGTTTATAAATAACTAGTGTTTATATTGTCAGGTTATTCATTTATCAATCTATCCTGGAAGGATTTCTGATTAATAGAAGATATAAGGTTTAGTCAGGATTTTTTTCTACCTCTACTTCATCTACTAGAGACTGAGAACTTATACCATATACAAGACATACCTTATAGCTATTATCTTTGACTTATGAATTCAGCAATAATATGAATACAATGCTTATTTGTGATGTCATACATACATACATACATACATACGTGTATGGTATTCAGCTTTGTTCAGGTATTTTCCCACGTCATTATAGTTGTGCTTTTAAAGTTGTAGCAATGTTTCGGCAGAATCTCATCTGCCACCATCAGGCTTCTGTATTGTGTTTGACAATTATAATGACGTGGGAAAATACCCAAACAAAGCTGAATACCATACATATAGATACCCGCAAAAACTCATTCGGGTTTTCTCCCACATAAAATTGGAAGTATCTAGGCGACGTTTCGATGAAGTCTCATTCATCATCTTCAGGCTTGTGTCTTCGGCTTTGTGCTTCTCAGAGTAATGTGAGCTGGGGATTTGAGCTGGTGAACTGTGATCCTGTTGTTTGGCTTCATGTGGTTATGAACACATCTGACTACCAAACCAAGTTAACCAACCTACTCCAAGACCCCACATACAAACCCCTAAAGACAGACCCCACCACCTACCTAGAAAAAACCACCAGATCCAAAATAAAGAAATCCAGCAAAGAATCATACCCAGAGAGAAATCATCCAGTTGCCCTAAGCTTTATGGTCTCCCCAAGATACACAAAGAAGGAACCCCACTTAGACCAATAGTCAGCTCCATAGGCTCACCTCTACAAAACCTAGCCAAATTTCTCACCAAACAACTACAACCCTATGCAGAATACATCAACTCACACGTAAGAAACTCATTCCAGTTCATCGAGATCATAAAGAAACAAAACTTACAACCCAGCGACCTACTAGTGAGCTTCGATGTCATATCCCTTTTCACCCAAGTGCCAATAAAAGATGCCTTGACAGCCATCCAAAATAAATACAACCCCCCCCCCAAGCACATCCTAGATCTGACCAACCACTGCCTATCCAATACATACTTCACCTACAACGGACAAAAATACAAACAAATAGAAGGAGCACCCATGGGATCACCCCTCTCACCTGTCATCGCAAACCTCTACATGGAACACTTTGAAACACAAGCTCTAGAAAAATATGATCACAAACCCAAACTCTGGCTCAGATACGTAGATGACACCTTCATAATCTGGCCACACGGGAAAGAAAAACTGAACAACTTCCTTACACACCTCAACAGCCTACACCCCAAAATACAATTCACCATGGAAACAGAAGCTAACAATCAACTTCCCTTCCTAGATGTCTTAGTATACAAAAAATTCAATGGCTTCCTAGGACACACCATCTACCAGAAGAAAACACATACAAACCGCTATCTACACGCACTCTCACACCACCACCCAGCACAGATCAATTCCGTAGCCGAGACACTCATCTCCAGAACAAAATGCTTAGCCAACGAACAACAGCTAAAAACCGAACTAAACACTCTCACTAACGTACTAACAGCCAATGGATTCCAAAAAAAGAAGATTACCCACCTAATCCAAAAAGAAACCCCAACCAAAATCCAAGACAGAGAAAAAGAGAACGGCAAAGCCCTCCTCCCATATATAAAAGGCACTACAGACAAAATCAGCAAGATCCTCCAAAAACACAACATTAAAACAGCATTCTGCACAAACAGAAAACTATCCACCATCCTAAGAAACCCTAAAGACAAAATCGAGTTAGAAAACCAAGGGGTATACGAAATCCCTTGCACCGCCTGCCCCACCACATACATCGGACAAACTAACAGAAGAATAAGTGCATGCATTGAAGAACACAAGAACTCAATCAAAAAAGAAGAACTGACCTCTTCCCTGGTCCAACACCTCAAAGCCACAGGACATGAGATTGACTTTAAAAATACCAGAACTATCGCCAAAACCAAACACTTCAACAACAGAATAATCAGAGAAGCCATAGAGATAAAAAAAACGCCCACACGAAAAAACGCCCACACGAACAAATGAGATGATACCTCCCGCCTACCAGCCATTTGGAAACCCGCCCTCATGAACAAATGAGTACCTAACATGAAGAATGACACCAGACCCACACCCACGAGGGCCACACAAGATGCTACCACCACACTTCCACGTAGAAAGCAGACTCACACGCACACAGATGATGAGACATGACCATGGACCAGAAGCCGTACCGCAGCTGCATCACTACCCGCTTCAAACCCCTCCAACCCATACATGAAGCGAACGGATGCCCACCATGAAAATGTGGCACGACCACGAACGCGAAGCCAAACAACAGGATCACAACTCACCAGCTCAAATCCCCCGGCAACTAAGACTAACCTGAGTACAACCAAGCCCCCCACCTGAACAGAACACACCCCCAGCCAATCAAAATACAGCCAGACCCCCCAACCAATCAGAACACAGCCAAACTCCCAACCAATGAGAACACACCCCCAACCAATCAGAACACAGCAAAGCCCCCCCATCAGGTCACACCCCCACTAGCAGTTAAAAGGAAGAAGCAGCTGAAAGCTCACATTACTCTGAGAAGCACAAAGCCGAAGACACAAGCCTGAAGATGATGAATGAGACTTCATCGAAACGTCGCCTAGATACTTCCAATTTTATGCGGGAGAAAACCCGAATAACCAAAGATATATATCTATATATCTATATCTATATCTATATCTATATATCTATCTATCTATATACACACACACACGCACACACATATATATATATTGCTACAACTTTAAAAGCACAACTACAATGACGTGGGAAAATACCCTAACAAAGCTGAATACCATATATATATATGTATGTATATAGATAGATAGATAGATAGATAGATAGATAGATAGATACATAGATAGATAGATAGATACATAGATAGATATAGATATAGATATAGATATATAGATATATAGATATATAGATAAATATATACATATACATATATATATGGTATTCAGCTTTGTTCGGGTATTTTCCCACGTCATTGTAGTTGTGCTTTTAGAGTTGTAGCAACGTTTCGGCAGAATCTCATCTGCCATCATCAGGCTTCTGTACTGTGTCCGTCTGTGAGTCAGGCCCCCACAGTTGTTTACTTTTGAATTAGTTGGTACAATTGTTGGTTTGTAATAAGTATTTTTACACCTGTGTTATACATGGTCCTCTTGTCTGAAGCATGTTCAGCTTATTCCAAATAAATTCTAATGCTGATGTATTGAATTTTTTATTTTGAGTTTAATGATGGTAACACTCTGGTTAGGCATCACAGTAACAATTAACTGTACATCGCAGTTTAAATTCTACCTTGCTTAGAGAAAAAGGACACCAAAATTTGAAGAAACATTGAAAACATACCTCTTGCCAAGAATAATCCAACAATACCAGCAAAACTTATAACACCAAGCCTTGGATAAAATCCTGGAGGTGGAGCTTTGATGATTTCATAACTCTCTTTAAAAAAAACAGTATTACATTACCTACTGATACCTATTTACTAGAGTATTTAAATAGTATTCTGGAGTATTAAATTATTATTTGTATATTTCCATTATAAATAGCTAGTTACAAAATTAGAAATACATTTGATATATTGGTATCTAATATAATAAATATTGTTAGTTAGAAAGATATTTGCACAGTGTCCTTGTGACAATCTTGCTGGTAGGTTAGACTAAGAAACAATGATTGACTAGGAAGTATCAATCAACTTTTATGTTTAATTGGGATTTGAATCAGGTATACCTGCCATAATCAAATATTAACAATTGGTCTTCTGTTTTCACTGTTCTTTACTGTTGCTATTGTTCACTGGTAATTAGCATATCAAGATCAATTTTCCAGGCCAGCATTAAATTTGAAATGTAATTGTATCATATTTCTTTTCTTTGTTATTTATAAAGCTGTTCTCTTGGAAATTTTTAAAAAATATAATTTAAATGTTATTTATTTATTTATTTTGCATTCAGATGAAGACATTTAACATTTTGATCAAGTTTTAGACTTTTTACTAGATTGACATACTTTATCATACAAATAAATACAGTATATTATACATTACTTTCCTGAAATCCCTTTCTCTTCAATCTGTTCTGTGAGAGGAGGAAGGATAACAAATAGGACATTGCTTACAGAAATTGTGTGCTTTTTTAAAAACTGCACCCTCTCAGAGTGGCGAGATCGGAGAGGAAAGCATTTAAAGAGAGTAAGGTAGTTGCATAGTGTGCCCGTTTTAGGCTGTCAGTGCAATTTACTGCTTTTGATGTTTGGAAGACTTAATGTTTGGAAGCTTAATCTCTTGTAAACCTTTCCTCATCAATCTCCCCACTTTTGAAGGAGAAAATAATACAGATCAGGCATAGGATAATGCATATTGCCTGTAATGGCAATCATGGATTAAGGGACACTGTAAAGGTAATAAATTGTCTTAAATTGGCTATAAAATTATTTTTTCAGCCATTATAATTTTGAATGGTTGCTGAATAAGTAATTGATAAGCAAGGACTATCTGTGTTTGCTGAAATGTATGAAAGCACCTGTAGAGTACTAACTTCTCTGTTAAAACAGTTGCAAATGGTAACTGAAGAAATGGATGTTCAGCAAGGACTACCTACATCATGGAATTCATAAGAATTGTTCCTTATTCCTCACCTCCAACCCTCATGTTATTAAAGCAGCCTAAACATATTTTTGCTCAAAAAGTAACTTAATGAAATTATCTGAAAGGATGTTATGGCCTGTTATAATTAGGCAACAGGAAAATATATGCCAGGGGAATGTTAAAAGAAGAGAGAGAGAAAGAGAGGTATTGGGTTCTGGAACTGTTCAAGTAGACATTAAATAGCATTTATTAAAGATGCTTTGGTTTGGATTTCTAAACAGAGCACAGGGTTTGTACTCTGGATCCCAAATGATATTTTCAACTGTATAAACATTAACTTACTTTCACTATGAATGCCTATATCTAAACCGAATTTAGATATTTGAAGTCTATTTATATAAAATATCTTCCAAATAATCTTTTTAAGTATCCTTCTACTGTTGTCAGAAGGGTGTATACGACCTTATTCATAAAACAATCATAGGCAGTGGGAATGTAAGCAGATTGTATAATGAAGTTACAGTACTTTAAAAATATGTACAGTAACACAAGAACATAACAGTGTATTGTAATATTTCCACAATGCGTATAGTTTAATTTCTGGAAACATGCTCTCACCTTTAACATACTCACAGGCCTTTTCTACCTTAGGCATAGCTTTCCCAGTACAGTCCTAAAGAGGGCAAAGTTGAAACAACTATTAGTATACTAAAAGATTGCAGCATTTCTTCCAAAGCAATTTAAGTATGAGATATTCCTTGGTCTTCCCAGTGTAAACCATAGGCCCTGGCATTTTTAACCCAACCCTGATTAAATTTGTGAGATCAGACAAGATTGGCTACCACCAAAATAACTGAGTTGACAAAGTAATAATACTGAAATTATTGTGTTTACAGTTTAGATTGCAAAAGAAGTAGATTCTACTCATATAATTTGTGCAATAAAAGCTACTTGCTTATACAAATTATTCAGTTATTGGGATGGTAACAAAGTTAAATGCTGTACCTGAACCCAAGCTGCATATGGCTCCAAAGAATGCCGCAGATGAGAAATAGTTTGTTCCAGTTGTGACTCTGGATCTTCCACATATTTTGATTTTGGTGATGGACTGGTATAGAGTGAAAGCTGTAAATACCAGTAAATACAGTTATTACTTATGTTCTAATAAGTGTTTATTGGGGGTTCTCCACATGGGAAATTCTTCTACATTAACCAGAATGAGGCAGCACTGCAACACACCTTCATAAAAAAGAAAAACGTATTGGCAAAAATGTATAAGGATAGATCTGCTAAATATTGGAAATGTAATCAAACACCTGGTTCATATTACCATATATGGTGGACATGTCCATAAGCTAAAAATATTGGATGAAAATACATACCTGGTGGGAAAAAAATGATAAAACAGCATATAGACATGAAACCAGAAATATTCTTATTGGGCATTCTACCAGAAAAATATGATAAAAAGACTATATACTTGATTTTAAGTGTATTAACTGAAGCTTTGAATATGCTCAACAATGGAAGTGTGATGTGATCCCGACAGATGGGGAATGTAATTATGAAAATACTAGAATGTACAGAAATGGATAGACTAACACTTATTATTAAGGACAAAGAAGAAACTAAATACTTTTTGACATGGGACATTTCATCGATTGTTAGGCAATAAAAACAGAAGTTAGAAAGAAAGGGACATAAAAAGGATAAATGTTAAAATGAAAATTTGTTAAAATGGACAAACAAAATGTTGTTACTACAGTATTAATATTATTGTGATTAATTTTATTGTGAACATTTTGATTATGATCACCTAAAAACAACTGTACAATCAGACAACACACTGTTTGATTGAAATGGAATTTTTTATATTAATAAAACAAATAAAACTTGAAAAAAATAAAATAAATAAGAATAACTTCATTAGAAGAGAAGAAATCTAAATTATGAATCTACATACTGAAATCATTTAGAGAAAAGATAGACTCATACCTCATCAATTTTTAGTAGGTTCTTTTCGGATGATTTATTCTCAGCAGAATCAGCATGTACATGTACAGCAAGCAAGCTTAAGGTAGCAGGTGTAGCAATCAACTGCCTTATCTAAATATAATAAAAATGGAAATATTTCATATCTACCAATGGAACTGAATAGATACATATTTTCGCAATTCAAACATGAATTTAAGCAAAATTATTGTCAAGCGTCTGCACAGTTTTAGTAAAGTAGAAACTTAAAGATACATGCAAATCCACAAAAGTATATTTTTGAGTCTCAATAAGTCTGTTCCTTGTATCTCCTGTACTTGATGTGTACTACCATATTTCACCAAAAATAAGATACGGTCTTATTTTCTTTTGGGCTTGAAAATAAGCACTCGGGCTTATTTTCGGGGAGGTCTTATTTTTTTTAAGTGCAGGAGGCAGCAAGTGCAGGGGCGAACAGGAGTGGGAGAACAGCTGCTGTTGGCCCCACCATCCCACTGTCTGCTTGTCCATGGCTGAAATGGGCCAAGCTCTCAGCATGCCTTGGTCTCCACCTGCCCTGCCTGCTGGCCCAGCTGCTGCTTCTTGGCCATGGCGCCTCACAGGGGCTCTTTGCCCTCCTGGCAGGGTGGGTGGAGATCGGGGTGGCTTGAGATCGGGGTGGCTTGAGAACTTGACCCTGATTGAGGCTGCCGGCAAGTAGACAATGGGACAGAGAGGGCAGGGCCAGCAGTAGTTAGGGCATGTTTCTGGGGTGGGTCTTATTTTCAGGGAAACACGGTATGTCAGATATGTAAGTTTAGATAGCTGAAACCTGTGTTATTGGAAGAAAAAATTCTACAGGAGCCAGGAGCTTAAAACAAAGCACTGGACTGATTGTGGGGGAAAAGCCAATGACATTTTTCAAAAAGAGATGTAAACATGTTTTTGAAAAGAATTCATTCTCTTGATCAAATTACAAGGTCAGGTTTTTATGATCAATTAGTATTTGTTTTGGACACCATGACCTAATTCTAGAAACAAGGGAGTGGCATATGTTTCTTGTACAGCAAGGTTTACTTTTATTCAAATGGTTCATCAAGTATAACTCTCCTTTTGGAAGTTCAATGCTTCTACAACTCTCTCAAACATAGCAGAAGCTTAAACCAAACTCAAAACCTTAATGCATACAACTAAGTCCTAGTATTTCTTGCCATTAACATGTAGAGTTCAAAACTCAAAAACAATCACATAACAAACAGATCTGTGCAGATCCTTGTGCAATAAACACAGGATGGTTTCAAAGCAGCCACAGTGAGCTTTCAAGGGAATGCAGTTACTCTGTAAGATGTTGTATTTGGGTGTTAATCAGCAAAAGCAATAGTGATTTGCCATAGCTACAAATCATACAATTTGGAAGGGAAGGTATATGTTCTTCCAGAATAAAAGAAGGTAAGCCTACTTTAAAAAATAAAATTGCTTATGTCAGCTCCCAGTCCGCCAGTCGGCCTGGAGCTGCCATTCGGGCGGGGGAGGAATGGCATGGGACGCATGCACATGGCCGCTGATGGCCACACCAGGTTGCCTTTCAGGCGGAAGAGGAGCTGCCAGCTGGGATGCCCACATCAGTTGCACGCCTGCCTACCTTACATCTGGCATGTCGCAGGTATCCTACAGAATGCCTGCTGCATCCATGGAGCCAGTGGATGGCCAGCGGAGGCACAGACTTTGAATACAGCTGATTCATGGCAGAACAGCTAATTATCGGTGTGTGCAGGTGCAGGGAGCTGGACGTGCTGGCCCAGGATGAGCAGCTAGGATGCTTCAGGAACACAAAGAGCGTATTGGCAGTGAGTGATAGGTGCGAAAGGGAAGGGTGGAACCGCAGGGCGGGCCTAGAGCACAATATAAGGGATGGAGGAGTAAACCATGGTAGCGCTGACTTTGATAACTTTGTTGTTGGTCACTCCATGATAGGTTCACATTTACAAGATAAAGGTTACCACACTGAACTATGTTGCTGGACTTTCTTGACATGGGACACTGCAATGACTTTCTTGACGCGGGACACCAGAACATGACGGGAAGTCAGTGCTACCTTTATTTTAATTCACCCCAGCTAGTACCTCTTCCCTTGGAGGGGGAGCTGTAAGAGATGGCAGAGGGAACAGAGGCCGGGTCAGAGGCTGCAGTACGAGAGGAACCATCCACCTTGGAATCCCTGACAGCACCACAAGACGCCCCTGCCCTGGATGTGTGTCCCAAGGAGCGGGCTGGCTCAGGTATTCCAACTGTCAACCAGGAGTCATATACGTCCATGAGGGATGCAGGTCAGAGGGATGTTCCAGCAGGGGAGTGGTGGAAGAGTTTGTCGGTGACTGCAGGTGCTGGGGAGTCATTGCCCACATTGATCCTGTCTGGCAGCCATTTAATGAAGTGGCAGGAAAGGCACCTGACTGAGGATGATGAAGGGGAGTGGAGCTACTCCACTGCACTTGGCAGCCAAACCATGGACTGGTTGAGGGAGAGGTTTGGAGAGGTCAGTTTTCGGGACATTGGGTCCTGGTATAGTGGGGACCAGGGGGAAGAGGCTCAGCTGGCCTGGTGCCATCGCTATCAAACCAACAACTGACAGTTCCTTCTGTGCATTTCCACTTAGCCAGCCCGAAGTTGCAAATGGAGGCAGATCAAGGGCGCGCTAGGAAGCCCATGAGGGGATCAGAGCCTGTCTCCACTATTGGACATCCAAGTTACTACCTAGGGGGGAGTGGTCATCAGTGGGTACCTGCCAGTGTTGCCAGCCCCCCCGGCACATGCTTGGCCGGCGGGTATCGGCCAAGAGCAAGGGGTCTGGCAATTGTGGGGCCCACCAGCGCTGAGAGTAATATTTGATGGCAGTTCAGATAAGGTGGCTCTCCTCTTAGGCCTCTTTGGCCAGGTGGATTGGTACGCACCCCTTTACACCTCCCAGTGGGCCATGGTAATGGCTGTAGAGGCAGTGGAGGATGAGGCAGCTGACTGGGTGACTGATCTGTATAGCGAACATGGCCGGGAATTAGGAAATGCCAGCCTGTTCTTGGAGGCACTGTATGAAAGGTTTGAAGACAACACCAGGGCCCACAGGGCAGAGGAAGAAATGCTGGCATTATGGCAAAAAGGTAGGCCAGTTATGGACTACATCTGTGAATTCCAGAGACTGAGGGGCTAGCCAGAATGATTGCTGATGCACCAGTTTAAGACAGGCCTTGACTGCATGTTGCACCAGGGCTGTCTACTGGGGCTTACCTCCATGCTTGGGTGCCTGGTATCCAAAAGCTACGGAACTGGAGACAAAGTTGCAGGAATACAGACCAAAAGGGGAGGTGCCTGTGCGGCCACAACAGTTTCTGGACTGAACTCCAAGCAGTGCCCCAGGGGCACTGGACCCTCGGGTGGCTCACCTGAAGGCCACACCAGGCCCGCCATCTATGTTATGTTTTAGGTGCAAGAAATTGGGTCATTGGGCAGCTGAATGCACCACCTTCACTCCAAAAGCAAAGGTGGGGACATGAATTCTGAGGAACACGGCCAAGAAAACTCTGGTGTGTTAGGAATAACATAGGTTACCTAACGTAGTTTGGGTAAAATAATATATATAAACTATGATAGTGAGTTTAAGTGTGTGTCACTTTAACTGCAAAGCATGTAATTTTGGGTGCGGCTGTAAATCGCCATAAGAGGGAGCAAGAGAACTTGATTGATTGCTGGCTTACTGGATTGCTTGCAGACGATGATGGATTGATGGTTTGTTAACTGCGTGTTTCCCTGCTGTTGCTGAAGGAAGAAAGGAGGTTTGACTTCTTCATATCTCTACTGCGAAGAGATATATTACTGGACTGATATTTGTAAGTTTAATGACCTCTTTTTCGACACTGGACTTTGCAACTGATTAATCCCCGGACGGACTGAACTAGTGAATGATATATGGACTGTTTTGACTATGCTAAAATCTATTACTGGAATAAACTATTTAACTAGCACATTGTATCTGTTTTACTGAGTGTAAGCTACAACAACGTTTATCTCACATATTTGCCTGCCTGCCTGACTGCCGTGCAGGTTCTGCTAGGGTGTATATCCCTAACACTGGTTATGGGCCCAGCTGCACAGTCAGACTAACCAGGATATAACAGGCTTATATAAAGTGAGAGTTTGTGTAGTTACACAATACTGTAAACAGACAGCTGTGTTTTATTAATTATAGTTTAATATCCAGAAAAAGATGGCACAAGTCAATTTACCAAGTTTGTCTCTAATATCCAAACTGGATGGAACAAACTATGTTTCATGGTCTATGAAATGCAGCCTACTTCTACGCAGAGAAGGTTTGTGGAGTATAATTCAAAACCCACCAGAGGTAGATGCATGGGATCCGGAAAATGAGGATGATGCCCAGAAAATACAAGAATATAAACTGAAGAATGAGCAAGCTCTCTGTATAATAGGACTGACACTCTGTGACCAGCAGCTTGTCCATATTCGTGGAGAAGAAATAGCTGCTAAGTGCTGGGAGAATTTAAAGAAGATTTATGTTCGAGACAGTGTAGGAGCACATATAAATCTTACACGGAAACTGTTCAGAACACATCTTCAAAAGAATGGAGACATGTTGACTCATATAAACACAATGAAGAGAATTTTTCAGGAACTGCATGAAAAAGAACTTATCTTCACAGAACTCCATCAGGTTTATATAATTTTGTCTTCGTTAGATGAGAGTTATGACGACTATGTAACTTCACTGGAAGTACTGCCAAAAGATAACCTCACGTTAACTGACATTACTGGCAGATTAATTGAAGAAGCCAGGAGAAGGCTTGAAAGGATCAACTCAGAAGGGAACCACAAGAAGAGAAAGAATCTTCGACAGCCTATACAATTAGAAAATGTTTTAATTGTGGAGGAAAAGGACATTTGGCTAGATTCTGCAAGAAAGGAAAACGCCACAATGCCAGCCAGAATGCTAAAAGGCATCAAAAGGATGAAAAACGCATAGAGTTAGCCATGTATAGCAACGAAACTGTGAATAATAATTTATGGGTTGTAGATAGTGGAGCATCGCACTGCATAACGAAAGATAAGAAAAGATTTGTTAAGAT